TGTGCGAAAGGGAAATGTAGAAGAGTAAGCCAAGAGAAGGTAAAGGAAACACACAATGATGATCTCGAAGGCTTTTAGCATCCATGTAAGACTCGTTGGTTATGGAAGCGGAGGGTTAGCAAATACATTGCCTAGAAAATCGTAGCTGTGAATATATGTGGTATTTATACAACTATTGTTCTTCATTCATATGCACATATACCCCCTTTCCCACACAAAATCTTATGCGAAGACATCTAGATATACATCTGAAATGCACGCATGCGCTGTGCAAAATGCAGACTCCTAAACAAAGTCATTTAGATTCTTCCAGTTTCAAATATTATAATCATGGTTTTACCAAAATGCTTCACTGGATCCTAGGATGGCCTTCATCACCGGCTCATACACATTTCCTCTCCAAAGTCTCTTAAACAACTGCGGCGCACTTTCAGGACTGGACCCCAAGCTCCCGGAGTTCGTCCTGCGACAACAGAGGAAGCGACACAACGGGCTCGTCGCGCCCACAGCCAGGCCACCTCGAGTCCCCGACGACGAGGGAAACGACGAGTGGACGCCCGAGAAGGAGAGATCTAGCAGGTAGGGCGATGATTCCACTGGGCATAGGGAATGAGGACGCGTGCACAGTCATTTTTGGGAAGCTTTTATAATGGAGATTATTAATTGTTGTTGCAGGCATGCAAGCAAAAGTGGAAGCGTGGGCGGTGGAAGAAGAGGCGGTCATAAGGGGAAGGCAGAGTGGAGTGCTCCAGCTTGGACCGGTAGGAGGGAGAACTACGATGATGCGCCGCTCAGTGTAGACCAAGTAGATATTATACCGTTATGGACTCCAGCCAAGTTGGTGGCGGGTGCAAAGGGCGCTGTCAAGGTTTGTCTTCTTACCCTTTGTCTCTGTGTTTGTGTGATGCACTTTTCCCTTCTTTATCCAGATTCCGTGTCCGCTTCTGTGTCTGTCTGGACATAGAAATAAAGGGACCCTGGGCCCGTATCCACAATGACAATTTTGAGTCAAAGCGTTCTAAGCAGGGGAGCGCTTGGGCAAGAATTCTTGCTGATAGGCCAAGCGCTGTACCGTTCCCTGCTTAAACGCTTTCCAAGGCAGGCAGGCCCTCTTCAGTGATGCCAGACAGGTGAAAGTGTCTTTTTTATAAAGTACAAAAGCATAACAGTCCTTGGTGACCATAGAATATCAAAATACACACAAAATATACATATTTGGGTTTTAAAAGCAATATTCCCACCAACAATCTCGGAAAAGAAAGATAACCTATGCACAAGTCAGGTGGAGTTTATTTCACTGGCGGTTGGTCAGTTGAGCGCGCAATTCAAAATAACTGACAAGCTAGCGCCGCATCAAGATGGCAGAGTAAATCTACCAAACATCTTGACAAAGCGCAAATATTTCTATATTCATATAAAGTGCCTCTAAAACAATGACACACACCCGATTGACAGTCTTTCATTCTGGCGCGTTATCAAAACAAATGAATATCCCTGATTAAATATAGGCCTACCCATTCCCATCTATCCGATTTTATGAGGTTAAACATATAACAAATCATGGAATACAATATCAAGAATGTTGCTAGAATTTCTCAGACTTTTTTCACTTGAAATATTCTTTATTTCATAGAATACCAGATATATTATCGATTTAGAGAGACGAGAAGATAAACAATAAGAGGTAAATTGTTTGTCTTATAATAATTTATTATTTATAAGTTAAACACTTTTTATTCCCATAATCTCCATTATCTCCTTTCGTTTTCAGTTAATTTTAATTTCTTAAATATGATTTTAAGAAAATTACAGAATCAGATACCGTGAAAAAATTATTTATCTGATAGGATATTAAGCGGAGTTCCTGGCCACCGCCCGCATTCGAAGGATCGTGACCAGTACGGTACGCGACCGACGCTGTTGCCATGGTGACGGTACACCGCTTGACTTAGCAAGCGCAAGTCTAGCCATCTACGGGGTCGCTTGAGAAAGCAAGCGAAATGCTTGAGTTAGCAAGAAAAACGCTTGAGATTTCGAGCAAGAACTTTCCCTGCTTAAAACGCCTTTAGTCTCAGAATTGTCTGAGACCTTTCGTGGATACGGCCCTGGAACATAAAGGCGTTTTAAGCAGGGAAAGTTCTGGCCTGAAATCTCAAGCGTTTTTCTTGCTAGCTCAAGCATTTCGCCTGCTTTCTCAAGCGATCTCCGTAGATGGCTAGACTTGCGCTTGCTAAGTCAAGCGGTGTACCGTCACCATGGCAACGGCGCCGTGTACAATATCGAATACAATATCAATATGTTGCTAGAATTCCTCAGACTTTTTTTCATTTGAAATATTCTTTATTTGATAGAATAGCAGATATATTCTCGATTTAGAGAGACGAGGAGTAACAGTTCAGTAAGAGGTAAATTGTATTGTATTCGATGATTTGTTATATTTAACCTCATAAAATCGGATAGATGGGAATGGGTAGGCCTATATTTTAATTCAGGGATATTCATTTGTTTTGATAACGCGCCAGAATGAAAGGACTGTCAATCGGAAGTGTGTCATTGTTTTAGAGGCACTTTATATGAATATAGAAAATATTGCGCTTTGTTAAGATGTTTGGGTAGATTTACTCTGCCATCTTGATGCGGCGCTAGTTTGTCAGTTGTTTTGAATTGCGCGCTCAAACTGTTACCAACCGCCAATGGAATAAACTCCACTCTTGATTTATGCATTAGTTATCTCTTTCCGGGTTTGTTGGTGGGAATACTTGTCTATTGCTTTTAAAACCCAAGTATGTGTATGCTGTGTGTTATTTTAACATTTCTATGTTCTCCAATGACTGTTATGATCTGTACTTTATAGAAAGACACTTCCACATGTCTGGCATCACTGAACAGGGCCTGCCTGTCTTGGAAAGCGTGTTGCAAGACAGTTTTGACTATTTGTGCGACTTTGTCGCTGGGTAGTTGTGCAGACTACAACCAATATCTTCTCGTGTACAAGAATTAAACAATTATATCAGGATTGTCAAAACACTTTATTTAGAAAGGATATAAAATTATTGACTATTTGCAGCGCCGCCAAGCTCATTCATTCTAAAATACTTATTCTTTATTACAAATGAAGAAACGATCTTGAAATATTCTTGAATGTTCCAGATAATACCAAACAGCCGACAGGTCAAATGGAGATTCCGCTGCGGAATATGTTAAGCCAGAGGACAAGGGGGTCTTTTCAATTCCCATGTCACAATTGGCAACAGATACAGAGACGGTAACAATGAAAGAACTTCCAGCTGAGACTGAACCACCTGGTGTAGGATCAGATGAAGAGGGTCGGGGAAACAGCTGTTTTTCGGAAGAGAAGTCCAAGACACGGTACCCACGACGTTGTAGCAGAAGGAAAGTGTTTTATGAAGAAAACATTACTAAAGATGACGATTTTATGTGTAAGGAAAAGAGCGTTTGAGTCATCTTCATAGTTGCTGTTGCGTGGATTTTATAATCTTGGATTAATTTCACTTCACTTATGATAGTTGTGCACTTACGATTGTACATGAGGTAGATAGATTCAGATACCATGATTTTTTTCTTTGTCTGCAGATTGCGCAGGCTGTGACGAAGAGAAAGAGGGAGAGTGTCCATACCATCCATTGTTCCTTATTCTAGATAACCCCGTAAGTGTGCCATTCATGCTCTCACAACCTTGCTTAGATTGAAAACTGAACTGGTCACAAACATAACTGATAATCTTAGACACACGAATGCACACGCACAGTTTTAAATAGCGTTATCGTCCCAATGGTATGTTTGGACAGGTTGTTCGAGACGGCAGCGAGAAAGATCGTGCTCGCCTCACAACCCCTTGGCCCCTCACTGTCTACGACTCGAAAGTGAAGGGGGCAGGAAAAGGCGTGTGGACCAATGCACATCTCCCAGCCAATCTTGTGTTTGGACCATATGAGGGCCGTGTCCTATCTGGCCCTCCGGAAGCCGGTAAAGAATCTGGCTATGGCTGGAAGGTTAGTGTATTCTGTGGCGTAAAACATATGATATTAGATGAATGTACTACTGAATGATTTTTTTGCGGTTTTCTACAAACCACCAAATATTTTAAGAGAAAATCCACTTACGCAAATAGTTTCTTCAATTTCTTCACCTGCCTGTACTTCCAGATTCGAGGTGCTGGAACAAGGAATAGATGCATTGATGCTGTAGACATTGCAGTTAGTAACTGGATGCGTTACGTCAACTGTTCAAGAACTCAAGCTGAGACCAACCTATCTGCATTTCAGTACAAGGGGCAGGTCTACTACAGGACGGACTCTGCAATTAGGAGGTCAGTATAATTCAGTAGCGAAGTCAACTTTTCCTGATCATACCCCTGTCATAACGTGCTCATTCATATTGAAAGATACAGGTAAACAAGGCCAAAATAATTGTGAACAGGGGGAGCGAGTTGATGTGCTGGTACGGAGCCGATTACGGGAAGGATCTGGGTCTGTCAAGAGAGCCGTCCAAGTGGAAACCAGCGAAGAAAGATGTAAAAGGTACGTAAATACAAGTGTCATAACCTAATTTCCCATTCTGAAGGGAAGATGTATTCAGAAATGGTTGGAATGCTCTTGAGATTATATAAATTGATATTGTAAGGATACAATAGTGTATTAGATGTGTGTACATATGTATGTCTGCACATCTATAACATCAATGTTGCACACGCACACACACACACACACACACGCACACACACACACACACACACACGCACGCGCACGCACGCACGCACGCACGCACGCACGCACGCACACGCACACACACACACACACACACACACACACACACACACACACACACACACACACACACACACACAACACACACCACACACACACACACACACAACACACGCATACACACGCATACACACGCATACATATATATATATATATATATATATATATATATATATATATATATATATATATATATATATAGTTTATATGGTAAACAGGGTGGTTGCAGTGGCAGTGTTGTTTAGCTCTGGTTTCATTGTTTGGATGTGGAGTGACTCGGCTATGATGAGGTCAAATCTGTTAAGATGGGAGGTCAAGATTTTGAAATCAGTATTGCTGAAAGGGTGATTGTGGAGGTGAGAATGCTCTCTGATTGCTGAGAAGGATGGTTTCCTCAGTTGCAGGCCTGTCCTGATGGACTTGCCTTTGTGTTCGAGAATGCGGTGGCGGAGCCATCGTGAGGTGGATCCCACATACCTCGCCTGACAGCTAGGACAAGTAAACAGGTAAACCACATTCGAACATAGTTCAGAGTTACACATCTCTTTATTCTTTAAGAAATTACCAACGGTGTTATTATTGTAAAAAACGAATCGAAAACTGATCTGAGGATAGCAACGCCTGAGAATTTTGTTTAATGATTTTCTGAGATCAAAACTAAGACCGCCCATATATGGGAGTTTTATATATTTAATGTCTTTTTTGGCAGATGCAGGTTTAGGGTTGAATTTCTGACTTAGAAATTTGCGTAGTTTATAAAATAAGTAAATATTTATATATTTATAAAGTACGCAAATTTCTAAGTCAGAAATTCAACCCTAAACCTGCATCTGCCAGTTAACAAAGACATTAAATATATAAAACTCCCATATATGGGCGGTCTTAGTTTTGATCTCAGAAAATCATTAAACAAAATTCTCAGGCGTTGCTATCCTCAGATCAGTTTTCGATTCGTTTTTTACAATAATAACACCGTTGGTAATTTCTTAAAGAATAAAGAGATGTGTAACTCTGAACTATGTTCGAATGTGGTTTACCTGTTTACTTGTCCTAGCTGTCAGGCGAGGTATGTGGGATCCACCTCACGATGGCTCCGCCACCGCATTCTCGAACACAAAGGCAAGTCCATCAGGACAGGCCTGCAACTGAGGAAACCATCCTTCTCAGCAATCAGAGAGCATTCTCACCTCCACAATCACCCTTTCAGCAATACTGATTTCAAAATCTTGACCTCCCATCTTAACAGATTTGACCTCATCATAGCCGAGTCACTCCACATCCAAACAATGAAACCAGAGCTTAACAACACTGCCACTGCAACCACCCTGTTTACCATATATAATATATATATATATATATATATATATATATATACATATACATACAATATATATATATATACATATACATTATATATATATATATATATATATATATATATATATATATATATATATATATGTATATATACATGCATACACATTTGCATACACTCGTGTGTGTTTATGTATATATACACATGTATATATGTATATATGGTGAAAATGATATATATGTATATAAATACTTACACTAACTTTTTCAGATCGGCAGTGCGAGTGGTGTGGCTTAGTCTACAGCTCGAAAGATTATTTAACACTTCACCTAAAAGTGAGCAGAAAGAGTGTTCGCACTTACACGCCGCCAATTTGCTCCACGCGAGGAAGCAGCAGCAATAGTGGCTCAACCAAGCAATGTTTACGAGAAGAGGCGCCGCAGTTCCCGGAAAAGGCGCCTCACGAATCACTGCGTTCGCCAGCATCCGATGAATATAATACTGAGTGTTCAGTTTGTGATTACAAGTATGAGTCTTCTGATATCCTAAATCAACATGTGTTAATACACAGTGGGAAAAAACTGTTGGAATGTTCTGAGAGTAGGGAAAGATTTGCTGACAGTGATAAGTTGATGGAAACCCAAAGAATTCTACCAGAAGAAAGGCCGTTCGAGTGTTCCGAGTGTGGAAAAAGGTTTAATGAAAGTCGTCATCTGAAGACACACCAGAGGATTCACTCAGGAGCCGTTCGAGTGTTCCGAGTGTGGAAAAAGATTTAATGAAAGTGGTCATCTGAAGACACACCAGAGGATTCACTCAGGAGAAAGGCCGTTCGAGTGTTCCGAGTGTGGAAAAAGATTTAATCAAAATGGTCATCTGAAGACACACCAGAGGATTCACTCAGGAGAAAGGCCGTTCGAGTGTTCCGAGTGTGGAAAAAGATTTAATGAAAGTGGTCATATGAAGACACACCTGAGGATTCACTCAGGAAAAAAGCCGTTCGAGTGTTCCGAGTGTGGAAAAAGGTTTAATGAAAGTGGTCATCTGAAGACACACCAGAGGATTCACTTAGGAGAAAGGCCGTTCGAGTGTTCCGAGTGTGGAAAAAGATTTAATCAAAGTGGTCATCTGAAGACACACCTGAGGATTCACTCAGGAGAAAAGCCGTTCGAGTGTTCCGAGTGTGGAAAAAGATTTAATCAAAGTGGTCATATGAAGACACACCTGAGGATTCACTCAGGAAAAAAACCGTTCGAGTGTTCCGAGTGTGGAAAAAGGTTTAATGAAAGTGGTCATCTGAAGACACACCAGAGGATTCACTCAGGAGAAAGGCCGTTCGAGTGTCCCGACTGTGGGGAAAGATTTAATCAAAGTGGTCATCTGAAGAGACACCAGAAGAGCCACAGAGTGCGCTGAATTATTTTTCTCACCTGTACATTTTGTTTTAGATGTGAGACAAAAAAAGGGACATGGAAATATTTTTGATAGTCTTTTTATTTTGTGTACGCCAAATGAAGGCCTCAGCTGACGACCTGTTTTATTGACTTTATTTTACCCAGTACGACTTTCTGAAACCCTTATTTATACTTGTTCTGAGAGTAGGAAAAGATTTGCTGACAGTGATAAACTGAAGGAAACCCAAAGAATTCTACCAGAAGAAAGGCCGTTCGAGTGTTTATTATTGATCTCAAATGTGCTTCTGAAATCCTTATTTATACTTCTTTTTTTTAATCCTCTATGTTTAAAGGATTGTTATTAATGACTTTAGTGAATATCAATAAAAAACGAAACCGCCAACTCTTGAGGTAGTTTGTCACTTATTTCCCTATTTTTGGCTCAGAAAGAATTGATTTATATGTATATATACATATGCTACACGATGATTAATCCTACATATTCGTTTAAACATAAACACAGTAATACTAGTAGAAGCAAAGACTTCAAATCACTGAATATGATGTTTTGATATCCATGATTTGATTGTGACGTCATACTCAAGCACCTGCGAATCGCAAACCTTTCAAGCACAACAAAAGATTAAACTTTTGGTATGGAATTAGATTATTTCTTTGTTATATCTAGAGACCATTCTGCAATATTTCTCGCGGAATTTGTGGCTATGGCGAAAAAGCATTATGTCCTCAGGATGATCCTGCCCACCAGGTTGTCTCTGTTCGAGACAGCCTTGGGTGGAGGAGGCCTGTGGGTCGACCTAGGAAGTCGTGGCTCGGGCAGATCGATCAAACCTGTCATGAGGAGCTTGAGATGGGCCGAGCCTGGCGACTTGCCAAGAGGGACCCTCGCAGGTACAAGCAAAGGGTGGATGCGGCTCTGCGCCCCCGTCGGCGTTAGCTCCGCGATGATGATGTGTATATTCACAATTTTTTTTACGACATATGATACATAATTCTTGAAGAAAAAAGAGCGGGTGTCCATTTTTTTTCATATTTTATCTAATCTATATTGATATCGTACGTAATGTATATGTATACTATATACTCAATGTACGATCTTGTTGAGGGAAAATCTTTTAAAGACAGCACAGACGATATGTTGGTTTCTGGTCATACAGAGGAATAGATAAAATAAACCCTCACACACACACACACACACACACACACAACCAAACACACACACACACACACAAACACACACACATTTTTTACTGAAAAAAATAATGGCGATTTTCTGACGAAAAAAAAGCACTTTTTTGCAAGGTAACTGAAACATTGTCGTTTCAGATAGATTTACATAAATGCTACATTTGGTACTCCTATTTGTTGACTAACTCTGGTCAGAAGGAAACTGCAGTACTATTCACTATAAGAAAACTATTACACAATTTTCGAATTCTATCATCTTGCAGGGAGAGGGAGAGAGGGAGAGGGAAAGGGAGACAGGGAGAGAGCGAGAGAGAGAGAGACAGACAGACAATTGAACAGACAGACAGACAGACCAAATGAACAGACAGACAGACATAATCGACACCAACCGCCAAGTGTGACAAGCAACACAGATTCACGGATAACTATCCCCCGAGAAGCTCACACCCACTGCCACCCTCACCACTATTTCTTTCC